CAGCGTGTACCCAAACCAGAGGGGGCTGTTCAGAACCAGACTCTGGTTGGGACCAAAGTGAAAGTTGCCCATGTCGTTCTCGAACGACGCGTACATCGAGTGCGTTGTCCAGAGCGCGTAGCGGTCCACGGGCGTAATGCGCTTGATCGTCACGCGCGTCGTCATCCCCAGCGCATTCTCAATGCCAATCGTTTCGGTTAAACCGGTTTGACGAATCGTGCTCCATTGCAGCTCAAAGTACGTGAGCTGATGGGATTTCCAAAAGGCCACTTCGTCTGGTATCGGTACCCACGCGTGCGACAGCATGTATTGCACCCACGGGTAGCCGCCCGGCGATCGGACGAGCGCGCTCACAATCAAATTGTTGAAAAAGCCTCGGTAGATCGGGACCCACGAGCCAAAGTCAATGTTGCGCCCGACGGCTTCGAGGTACACGGCTGCATTCGCCTTGTCGTTGGCCACGCACCGTGCTTGACGCTTGCGGGAGTGGCCGAGTTCCCAGCGCTGCTGCAAGTCGACCCAGCAGTACTGCGTGATCATGTGCGTCACCTCGGTCGCAAGGAGTTCCCGAAGACTCGCAATCGCTTTCTCCATCGCCTGGAGCTCGGCGTAGAGCACCAGGCGTGGGTACGCCTCGTAAATGCTGAGCGGCATGGCCGAGTTGTCATATAGTGTGGGCAGAGCAAAGGCCGGGTTGAGGAGCTCGAGCGACGTGGCGTTGAGGGCGAGGCGGCTGTTGAAGAAGTCGATGATGGCATTTTGCATCCCACTCACGACAAAGTCGGGCCAAAACAAGTCGTTGGCGAGGTAGGTCGACATGATGTACATGATACCAATGCTAAGACCAACGGTAAAGAGCACGTAGGTCAAACCAAGGGCGTTGAGCCACACGGGGTAGCGAGCGGACGGTGGGTCACCCATCGGGCGATACGGCGTTGGACGGAGCCATGACAAGAGGATTGACATGGCGCCGGCTGGTCGTGGCTGCTCCCGCGTTTTGTGCACTCCGAGGTATGTTCCGTTTCAGCTGCAAACGGTTTTTGTTGGCCCAGAAGGCGCGGGTAAAACAACCGGGAAAAACCAACTTTAAGTGCAATCCTAGCGCAACCAAGACGCGTTGAACGCAAGCAAATGTCAACCTGCCCTATGAGCGTGATTGCATAGTGCTACAATAACCTGTAGAAGGAATCGTGGTTGGATGTTTGACGGAATCGGTACCCTGGTTTCCTTGAATTACTTGTGGTTTGTATCACGAATACAAACCTCGAGTCTTTTTAGAGGGGTAGGGCTTGAACGACATTAGGTGGGCCAAACTGTCATTGTACATGGTTGCGTTTCGAATGTCGGACAGATCGTTGGTGGCATACTACATCAGAAACGACTACTGCGTCAAACGACGAGAGGTACAGCTTCGCTCCGACGTCGTTTAAATTCCCAAGGATGTTAGAGCACTCCTTATGGTACATATGTACCGGTATTACCGGTATGCACCACGCATTTCGGACGCGACAATGGGGTCGACGTGGCGGCTTGCTCTGTACCAACTGCACGGCATTTGGTCGAGCTCACGCACCGAACGATATCACTTGCGCATTCTTCTACGCGCATCTTCGATCATGCCACGACACAGCCCACATGGCCACAGCCCACGGGGCGGCTTCGATTTTTAACTCTACAGAAAGAGATCGGCCGTCTCGCGCGGGTGCTTGGAGGCCGCCTTTGGCCTCGGACCACAGCGTCGACACCACGAGAAGTGCCAGAGTCCATCGCCTTTTCGATCAACATGTGAGCGCAGCCTTTACTCTTGTTCCGTCGCATCCTGCAGTGCAGTACCGTGTACGGAGAGTATCCCACCGCCATGGGCACGTTGACAGTACAGTACTTACAGTACTACGGGGACGATGGAGGTAGCATCTGCATCGCACCGTCTCTAACGGGTACGAGGCTTGCGCAAGGACATGCGCGGCGCCTTGGCCCCAACGGGTGGTCCCACGTCGTCCATGGCACCGTTGCCAGCACAGCCCACTTTGCACTTTCCCATGGCTTCAACACACAAGGCCCACCTCTTGGACGTCTTTGTCTACGGCCCTGACGAAACACCGCCGCTGCATGTCCTCGCTGGGTGTCCGTACTTTCTGTTGACCATTGCCCATGTCCAGCTCGGACATTTCGTGTGGCTCCATGGCATGGGCTTTACCGGCTGCGTGATTTACACGCTTCTCTCATTTGGCTCGATTGTGCTCGATGGCCTCGCCAACCCGAGCCTCGGGAAGAACCTCCAAACGCTCCGCTGCAACGGGTTTTCCGACACGCTCACCGCGGCCCGCATGTCGCTCAACTTGATTTCGAACGTTGTCATGACGTGGCTCGTCTTCCAAGAGCTTTGCGGTCCAGACGCGGTTGCCTCGACCTTGCGTCTCGGGTCGTACTCGCCGTACACGGTCGCAGCGATTGCCGCCAACATTGGTTTGACCGAAGTGCTCTTCTATTTTGCGCACAAGTGCCTCCACG